CACTTTGATTTTTTCAGAAAATCAACTTCTGGGGTCCTTGGTGCTCTCTGTGCTTGTTGGTTTTCCTGCAGACGTTTCATTACCCAACTAAATAACATCATCAGTGCTAGAAAGAAGTGGGATTTGCTCTTTGCATATATATTTAGAGAGCAAACTCCACTTCCCTTCTAGCACTGATGATGTTACTAAGTTGGGAAATGAGATGTCTGCAAGAAAACAGCCTAGCACAGAGAGCACCAAGGACCCCAGAAGTTGATTTTCTGAAAAAATCAAAGTGAACTAGGCGTTAGAGTTAAGATGACTAGGTTTTCTTGTAGTATTTGGCCATCTTTATCTGTTTAATAGGGTAGGAGATAGGGAGGGAAGGCTGAAAATATTCCCACAAACACGCTAAACTTGAATTAGCAAAAATGTGGTAGGTTTACATGGCATTGCTATGGACTAGCTGCTTGCTGTCTTAAAACTGTGGGTCTGTTCACACAAGGCATTAAGTCAATGGCTGAGCCGCCTCAAACTACCCAGCACTGTTCAAGCTTAGCATCTTGTATAAAAAGAAAATTAAAAAGTCAGTAGGATTCTATTGCTTTCCAAACACCAGCATGCAAATATCAGGTTTCCCTTGAGTTTGTATTCAGTTTCGATCTCTGTAGTTTTCTTGGCAACAAATAGGGAATGATTTGCTGTTATTTTCTTCCAGAGTTTTTCATCTTCCCCATATAGCCTGTACCTGTAGCATTTCTTGGTGGTGTCCCATCCAACTTGCATCTGTCTGGATCCTATTAGCTTTTCCAAGATCGGCTAAGACCGTGTGCACTTTCTGCCAACAATCTTTTAGCGTTTGGAGTCCGTCATGTGGAAATTCTTTTAACACGGCAGAATTTAAAAGTACACATTTGAGAGGAATAAACTGTTAACCTGTTAGGCTTTGCGGCAAGAGGTTTTTGCATGGATTGTGATCCATTGCATCAAGCTGAATAGAGTTTGAAGACAAAGCAGGGCAGATTCAAGGTTGAATCTCATAAATCTGGAACATGATTTTAAATATCCTGAACTTTTGTAAAAAAATCAGATTAGAAAGTCTTTCTTTCTAACTGTTTTTGTTTTTGTTTTGGTCAGAGGAAACTTTTAATTGCAGCTGAATTGATTCCTCTGGGATCTCGCTAGCTAGCCAGAGGGTGTAGTTGGATTTTTCAAACTGGTGTGGCCGCAATTTATTTCCTTGAGTTGCCAGGAGGTAGCTGTTGCTTAGATAATACTGGCAAAGAATCATCAGATGAGAAGATAATCCTCAACTTATGACCACAATCCAGCCCAAAATGTATGTTGCTAAGTAAGGAATTTGTTAAGTGAGTTTTGCCTCATTTGAAGTTTTCTTGCCATAGCTGTTAAGTGAATCACTGCAATTAAGTCAGCAACCCGGTTGTTAAGTGAATCTGGCTTCCCCATTGACTCTGCTGGTCAGAATGTCACAAATGGTGATCGTGTGACTCCGGGGACACTGCAACTGTCATAAATATGAGTCAGTTGTCACCAGAGGTGGGTTCCTACCAGTTCGCACCTATTCGGTAGAACCGGTTCGTCAAATCTACCGAACCGGTTAGAAGAGGTTCCACCAGTG